CCCCCCCCCCCCCTTTCCCCCCCCCCCCCCCCCGGGAAAAGGCATGGAGTGTGGTGCAGAGTCTCTGGGCCGAGGGCCATCTGCCCCGAGCGCCTCAGAGGGCTAAAAACAGCTCGTAAAAGAAGACCACATGAGAGCAGCACCGAGCCAGCACCGGCTTTTTCCGCAGCGGTGCTTCCCTGCCAAGGAGCGCGGCAAGTGACGGAGAAGGACATCACCATGTTCGCAGGGAGGCCGGAGAGTGCGCCACAGCCCATGTTGTAGCTGCCGTGGAGCATCATCTCCCGATCAATATCCACTCGGATCTGTGTTGCAGTGAGTGTCCCAAAAATATTCATGACGGCAGTCAAGACGGAGATACAGGCCGCGTTCACCTGAGTTTGCCGGAGCTCATATCTGAAGCCGGACCGGCTTCCGCCTTTGCTGTCCACTCACTTCTGCAAGAGAGCAGCCACGGTGAGCCAGAAGTTTGGGCAGATGAAGACGCTGAGATCCAGCTGCGAGGCATGCTCGAAGTGCATCGTCCAGACCTCATAGAAGTTGGGACCCTCCGAAGGCATTCGCACCTCGGCGCTGACGGACACAGAGAGCGCTGCATCGGACACTCTCGGCCCCCCCCCGCCCCCCCCCTTGCCCCCTCCGACTTTTTGTTCTTCAATCGGCGCGGCTAAGCAGCTGGGAAGAGGAGGCCCTCGTCTCTTGCGGCCTCGAGTCCTCTTCCAGTCCAAAGCATCCAGGCCAAGAAGAAGAAGGCCTCTTGCATGGGGCTTTGAGAAGAGCTCAAAAGCCAGCGAAAACCACCGAAAAAAGCCGCGGTTCCAAGCCTCGGAGATGAGGAACACGGGAATCAGCAGATCCTGGAGAGTCGAAAAAAAACCCTCTCTTCCGCCCCCCCTCTTAGGGGTCCCCTTTTTGGGTTTTCGGGCCTGGGGGATGCTCGCTCCCACGCGGACCCGACTGGCCCGCAGTGCAAACATGGCCGCCCCGCCGAGAGCTCCCGGGAGCCACTGCCAAAGCGTCCTCAGAAAGAAACAAGAAGGAGCCCCAACCGAAAAACACCGGCGCGCGTGCGAGCGAGCGATCTCTTCTTCTTTCAGGCGAGAGTCTCTGCGAGGAAAAGAGCTGTGTAGCTGTCCACTTCCACCAAGCCTCGGAAAGGAGACAGAGGCCCTCCGGCATGCGCTCCGGCATGCCCTCCGCAGATGCCCTCAGCCCGCGTCAGCAACTCGGCTGTGGGCTCACGAAGCCGGGTACCATCAGGTTCAGGGCGTACTGGAGCAGCACCTGAGAAAACTCGACCAAAGGAAAGCTCAAAGAAAGGAAGCTCACAAACACCGCTGCGTCCAAACACCCAAGGCACTGCCCCGGTTCCGGCCATGAAGCCGCCGTAGATCACGAAGGGGCAAGCCTTCAAAGAACGAACGAGCGCGCGTGGTGTCACGGACGGAGAGAGAGGCTGTGGGGAGGGACGGGACGTTGCCTTGACCAAGCGCGCCAAGCGCAGCCTGCCCACCAGCCACATCCCCGCTCCGATCAAAGAAGAGCACACCGCCACCTTGCTGTGCAGGGGAAAGAGAAACCCACAGAGACAACTGCATCAAGGATGCCCCAGGATTCCCCCAGGACGGCCCACAGACATCCCAAACAGGGACAATAAAAAAGAGAAGATGAATCTCCTCAAATTTGAGGGGGTAATTAGGATCCTGAGCCTTTCCAACCCCGAGCCGCCATGAAGTAGATCGTAGCGCAGCGGCCAGGTCCCAGGGTCTTGAAATGCTCGGCCAGCACGATGACGGTGGGGATACCTTACAAAAAAACCCTACAAAACCCCAAGAAGATTGCCCAACACCCAAAGCTCGAACACGATGCGACCCCCCGAAGCCCAGAGAGCCTCTGCGCAAGGCTTTCAGCTGCAGGATCGCTCGCCAGTCATAACCCACACCGCAAACTGCTAGCAGCAAGATGGGAAAACCGTGTCCCTTAAGGCACGTGGAGCAGCAACTCACCGAGGAGGCCCCCTAAAAAAAATACCTGAAGACCACCCGCCCCATCTTGTTCTTCTCCTGGCCGCAATCCCTAAACCCTTGCAACCCTTGAATTCCCCGACCCTGAGCCCTTACCAAAAGCCCTCAACATCCCTCAACCCCAAACCGACCGGCCCACCCCCCCCCCCAAAAAAAAAGAAAAAAAGGAGGAGACAGAGAGAGAGATCGAACGGCCCCGCTTTCTCTGGGGCCCCCCCCTTAGCCGCCGAGACGCTCGCGCCGGCCACGCCGAAGCGGATCTCCGAGCCGAGCAGGGATCCGGCGTTCGCCTGGGTGCTTGTTCTTGGGCTTTAGTGGTTTAGGGGTTTAGGGGTTTAAGGGTTTTTGGGTTTAGGGTTTAGGGGTTTAGGGTTTAGGGTTCAGGGCTTTAAGTTAAGTTACCATCTTACGATAGATTCCTATTATTATTTAGTAACTTAAAAATGTTATTGGCTAGTGGATGCAATATTAAGTTACCAAAATACAGAAACCATGTTGTTTTACTATAGATTCCTATTTATGGCAACTTGAAGTAACAATCCCTTAGCAAGAACCCAGTCGCCACCAGCGTCGTCAGCAGGCCGATGGACATCCCAAGCGCCTGGTACTCGTGGTTCCTGGGCCGGGTTTTTGTTGGGGGGGCGGGTTATGGGGTTTTTGAGGCTTTTGGGGGTTTACAAGGCTTGGGGCTTTTGGGGTTTAGGGCTTTTCAGGTTCGGGGTTTAGGGTTGAGGGTTTATAGGGTTTTTGGGTTTAGGGTTTAAGGGTACTCGTGGTTCCTGGGCTCCAAGAAGCCCACCCTTTGTCTGTCAGAGGGGAGCCTGTTGGACTTCTCAATTCAAGGGGCTCGCTTCCCGGGGAGGATCCTCAGGCTTCCTAGGATAGAAGTCCCGTGATGTTGGGGGCGTCGCAAGAGGAGCATCTTAGGCTTGTGGCGTAGAGTGTTTGGGGCCTGTTTGCATAGAGCTTTGGGGCTAGCGGTTTGAGGGGTCTGTAGGGTTTGGGTTTATGGGCCGGTTGTGGGGGTTTGGGGTGCATGAGGGTTTAGGGTGTGGGGGGTTCAGCATGGCCTGGCACTCGTGGCTCCTGGGAGGGCGTGGTGCCCTGTCTCTTGACTTTAAGACGGGACCAGACAAGTGCCTTTTCTTCCATGAAGTGGGTGCTTGCAGGCTTCTGTCATGCTCCCTTTTCAGAGCTGCTCTCCTGCTTCCACTGATTCGCTTGAGCCGATTTTGTCCGCGCTCGCCCTCTTTCAGGTGCTGTCGTGCTGCTTTTCGGCCTGAGCTTCTCTGGATCTCCTCATGACATGCGATGACATGGGGCAACGCCCCCAATGCCACACATCCCGCCACATTCCTTTTCCTGGTCTCGGGCCTTCAACCTCACGGCGCTGCGCAAGACGCAAGTCGCTTCACTGCTGCATTGTCCAAGCTGCGGAAACTCGGCTGAGGACGGGAAGAGCAGGCTGCCTCGCAAACGTCTCAAATCAGGGGGCAACTCAGTGCTGTTCTTGGAAGTCTGGATAAAACCGAAGCCTGGGGCTCTTAGGGCCCCAGGGCTCTCAGGCAAGGCTCCCAGAGAAAGGCCATCGGTCGCCCCCATGAAGCACGCGACCAGGGCCGCAAAGACCTCGGTTGACATTGAAGCCATGTCCCTTGACCCCAGCACCCCTCTCGGGCATGCGTCCTGTGACCAAGCAGCATTACGGCCGAGACGGGCCTGTCCATGCAACTTCTCGGGTGGGTCGGAGTGGCCTCCGTGCACCATGGCACATGGCCAGCCAATTTTTGTCGTTTTTTGGGTGCATTTTGGTGCATTTTTGCTGAGCGCCCGCGCAAAGCTTCTCTGCCATGGCATCCACCGACATCGCCCGCAAATTGCTCGAGTGGGTGAGCTCGGCCGGAGGGGGCAACAAAGGGAAGGACATGGAGCGAGATCGCGTCCTGCAACTGACCCGACCCTCTCTTAATCCCTGCTTTCCGTCTTCTAAAGTCATCGGACCTTTCTCAGCAAGGCAAGTAGCTTGACTTTCTGCCCCCTGCTGCGCTCCGCCGCTCGCCTCTCAGATTTACCCTCCCAACCTGAAAAGCTTCCGCCGGCAGCCCAAGGGAGGCGATACAAGCATGGACACATCCCATGTGTCATCTGCCATGGCGCTTGCTCTACACGAATTCCGTAGTGCACATTGGAACACGTTGAACTGGCTTGCTGTGGCTGATGTTGCGGCACACCCCCAGCAGTAACGTAGTGATTCCAAACCTGGAAACAAGCACAACTAACATCCAGTGCTTTTGCAAGCTCACTTCATGCTAAGCATGCACTTTCGGAATACAGCATGATCGCACTTGGTTGTTTACTCCAGTCTATCAAATACCAGCCACAGATCAGCTTGAAAATCGTGGTGGAAAGAAAATGGCGGACAGCTGCAACAGCCAAAGCCGCGTTTTGTGGATCAATCGGTGACTGTTGCATACACAGACGTGCTACGCAACTTCCAGACAACATGCTTTGAGCGAACGGGAAACGGCATCTTGCTGTCACACACCTCTTAAAGTTTAGCTGTTGGGCTCACTTGACGCTCATGCCTTCGGATTTTGGGTCGATCCTGAGTGTGGATCACCAACTTCCCACGGACGCGACATGATTGACGGCGCGGCATCATTTAACACAAAACCGACTACAAGATCGACGTTTTTTGGAAGGCGCGTGCTGTTTAAACAATCAGAAAATCAACATGTGATTTCTTGATTTCTTGGCATGTGCGCTACCTAAAACACCATCAAACCGTCGGCTGGTCACCACCTGCTCGACAGGCTCGGCCGCCTGCCGTGAGGATAACCCCGTGGATGAAATGGCTTCCAAATCACCTGATAGGCTGCGGATTCCTGAAAAATGTTACCCAGGCACGGGGGAATCCATGTCATGGGGCTCCATGCAGGTGTGTGGCTTCGGGCCCATGGAAAGACTGCGGGAATCCAATGAAGAGATCAACTTCTTTTCCCCGTCGCTCCAAAAAAACAACCTGAGATGGAATACCATGACCTTCCACTTCCACTGAATTCATGTCCATCTGATGAAGAAAGACATCACAACCCCTTGAAAGATATCGGAAAGAGATCCCCTTCACCTTAGGTCAAGACATGTGAAGTCAAACTATCCCATTTTGGACCTTGTCAGACCTTGTGACGAAGGAATCACCCCCCCAAACCCCTGTCTCGTTGACCCCGACTCGCCCAATGTCCAGACCAAAATCATTTTAGAATTCCCGGTGATGTTGAAACCCCATGGTTGGTGGTCAGCTCCTCCCGAAGTCTCCAGTGCGTCTTGCCGCTGTCGGCCTTTGATGCCCAACTTGGTCAGAAAGGCAAGGGGCCTTTCACCGTCACATGACTCGAAATCGAACTAGCCCTCGGGGGATGTCTGAGGTTCTCAACGCACTAGCATCAAACTTATTCTCCAAAGCATGGCAGGAGGTACTTCCAAAATTGTCAGCTGTGGCCTTCCCATGCCCTCCACGTCCACACTTTGCCACTGCCTGCATCTGCCTGGCCCCAGCGAGTGAGCCGGCCCACCTCACCAATCTGCTGCAAGCTATCCATGGCATTCCACGTGGCAACAAGACCGGCTTTGGGGTCAAAAATCAGAACCTGAAGCTTGGCATTGAAATCATCTATGTCCTCGATCTTGCCCAGGATAAGCTCCTTGTCCTTCTCGGAGGAAGCCCTCATATCCCGTACATCCAAGTTTTCCAGCGTCCGAGCCCTTTCTTGGAGCACTGCTTTGGACGACAGCTTCAAGGATTGCTCCATCTGCAAGCGTTTGGCCTCCGCAATCTCGGCCACGCACCATGCGCGATGGAACAAATCAAGAGATTTGTCTACTGCAACGACCTGTCTGCACCCTCCAGTTGTTGCAAGAAGGCACATCATGTCATCAAATTTGTTGATCTCTGACGAGGCACTTCGGCCATCTGGGTCAATGATGTTTGTGCTGCCACAGTGGCACACCGGGTGTAGCTCATTTGTGAAAGGATCCCGGTCATACGGGTTGCTGTGGCAAATGCTGATGTGCTGGTTCACAGCGAACGCGCACACCCAATAAGTGTCATCCAAGCGCCCCATCTTCGCAAGCAGGTCCTGAAGGAAAGCGCACTCTTCCTGCAGAAGTTGTGCTGGCAAGCGGAAACTGCATTCCTGCAGGGCATCCGACAGCACTGCAGCCAGCAAATCATTAAAGGAGTTGCCCCAATTGTGCGTCACCATCACCTGTGCACGTTTTGGTCCGTCCCTGTTGAAAGCTGAAACTGCATATGCGCACTCTTCTCTGCTAGTCTTTGGTATGATCGCCCTTCGCACCACATCTCGGGTCTTGTGGGCGCTTGGTACATATGTCCAATCTGGCATCAAAAAGACCTCGTGATAGAACTGCAGGAGACTTCGCAAGGTCATCCCCCGCATTGAGAGTTCTGTCACCTTTCTGCTCCAGGTGGAATCGATCTTGTCATGGCACGGCTTCTGTTTCTTTCTACTCTCCGGGTGTCCTGCTTTGCAGCACTGGTTCCATTGGCTCCAGTGCCATCCTTCTACCTTGGGCATTCTGTGGCCGCCGGACAGGAGGAGAACGGCGACGGCATTGCCCAGGGGATCAAACGCCTGGATGAGAAAGGACACCACCGCCAATGCCAAACTCGCAGGAGACGCTTTAGGATATACGTTACCCTCATAGTCAATATCAGGCGTAGCCCAAGGAAATGCAAGAACACGTATCACACGTGTTGGAACAAGCAGAAGCGTGAAAACAAGGCTGAATGAAACGCCCACGGCTTGCAGACCAGCAAACCTTCGGGCTCGTCTCAAGGACGATAGAGCAGAGGTGGACGCCTCGCTCGCTTCTGCCAGGCGACAAATCCTCTGCAGCTCGAAATAAGACTTTCCAAGAGAGCAAATAGCAACTATGCTCGCTGAAACATTGCACAGCAATGGGATCCCCGCTGTTGCAAAGAGTCCAAGCAAACATGTATAAAAAAAGGAGTCTGACCCAGTCAAAGCGATGGTGATGTGGAGGACCATGCCTGCAATGGGAAGCAAAGAAACTGCTGCCCCAAAGACTTGGGCCCGCATGAGTATGCGAAAGCACGCACTGTGGTAGTTCCGATTGGAGGCTTGCTCCAAGAGATCCAGTCGTGAAGCGATGAGCGTTTGCATCCAGAAGGATGCGACCAAATATAGCAGCAATCGGCACAATGCAAGTCTCGAAAACACAACTCTGCCGCCATCTCGTGAGGATGGATCGTCGTATGGTAATACGCCATACCTGCAGTCCGCAACAATTGGACTGTTCATGCCGAGTGAACCCAACATGGCTTGAATCCAGTTGACTATGGCATACCCGCACGCCCATCTTGTGTGACCTGAAGCGTCAGCCCTTCTCACCAGAAAGGCCGCGACGCAGCCGGCTCCGAAACTGGATAACATGAGCCCGAAAAAGAAAAATCGAATCTGGCCTGTGCAGGGGTACCACTGTAATTCATCAAGCTTCGGATCAGCAGGCCACAGTAGAACGGTCGCTGTGACATTGATCACAAAGACCACAAGGTACGATCGAGGCAACCAATGGCAAGGATTTTTTGAAGACTCTCCAGCCTCCGAACTTTCAGAACTTGCATCCGAACTTGCCAGAGTGGAAAGGATCATGGAATCGAACGAGTGAAACAGGGACAGCCCATCAGCTGGCTTGAGCCTTTCACGTCACAAAAACACTTCAACACCTGGTCCACGTTGAAACGGGCCATTGCAAAGCTAAGAATCAAGGAACCAAATGGAACTTCCATTTTTTGACCCCCCTTTCCACCAGTTGTTTCCCAAATAGGCTAGACGCACTGTCAGCTCCGTGCAGCACAAGTCATTTGCCAAGCGTCACCACCACCACCACCACCACGCGTCACCACCGCTCATCACCATGTGTCACCACCACCAGACGCCTCCGCCGCCACCATACAACCACCACCACACCTGAACACATGAAATTGCCAAATATGCCACCACCACACCACGCACCACATGACACCACCACATGGCTGGAGCCAGCTTCCAAAACGTACTTCGCGCACAACATTTGCTTTACAAAGCTGCCAGTCTCAGCACGCAACCTCCCCAGAAGGTAGTTGGCGGAAGGTTGCGGAACGACTTGAACATTCGCGTTTCGCCTGAGTTTTCGCGCATCCGAGACGCACGACCTGGCGAGCGATCTCCACATGGGCGTTTCGCGGCTTCGCGCGGCTTTCAGAGCACCGCCGGTGTCGCAGCGTCCGCAGACAAGGACCCCTGGCCGCAAGCATCCAACATGTGATCCTCAGAACTTGCGTTATGGGACCGGGCAGGTCCTGAAAAGCATGTCGGCACAAGCCAGGCGCGCCGATGTGCGTGACGAGAAAGGACAAGGACACGCTGGCGATGAGAATGAGATGATGAAAATGATGAGGATGGTGAGCATGATGAGGATGTGATAACAGTCAGTTTTTGAAGAGCCCTGCGCTTTTGGAGAAAAAATGAAAGGTGCGTGAGGATTTGGTCACAATGTTCCGTATCGTTGCCACGCTCAGACGGGCGACATTCGCAGAAGGGCTGCACGCGCTGTGTTATGGCAGAAGGAATCACTACGCTTTGTCACCTGGTTCTTGTAGGTCATTAACAACCTGAGTGGAAAGAAGTGAATGGCCACCACCGAAGACATGACTGTTTTTGCATTACCGGTTGTCTTCCAATCTCTTCGTGCCGTGCTTGAGGTGTTGCAAGCACTAACAGTGATTTACACTACATTCGGTTTTCTAATAGTTTCATAGTGTCAGCAAGCAACACGTCAAATAGAACATAAATGTCTTTGCGATAGTTTGGGAAGGCAAAACTCAAATTTTTTCCAGAGTTCTGCAATTCACAACATGCTCAACACGAAATGGGGCACTTGCCAAAACAGCTTCGCACGTGTAAAACTATTTAAACAAGCTATAGCACATGTAAGAATACACACGGCACAGGTTCCGGAGATACCCAGAGCTTCCAAAAGTGTTTAATTAAGGAAACCATGCTTAATCAAATTAAAAATCAACATAAAAAGTGTTTAATTAGATTGTAAAACCTTA